GAGTTCAAAGAGCAGCACGAATGGGGTGAGAGAGGAGAGAGAGGGAGGAAGGAGGAGGAGGAAGTGGAAGTGGTGGAAGTGGTGGAAGTGGAGGAGGAGGAGGAGGAAGGGAGGAGGAGGAGGAGGAGGAAGGGAGGTGCATAAACGAGGACAGCAGGTCACCTGCCCTGCTTGTCTGCTCCTGGCGCCTTCTGCTCAGCTCAAATGCTGCCGTGGGGGAAGCGAGGAGAGGCCGAGCTGTGCGGCCCATTCCTCCTCGTTCTCTCTGTAACGAACCTGCAAGGTGACCGTAAGAGGAAGTATGAGGGGTATGACGAGGGTGGTAGGTACCGGTCCGACGGCGAAGGAAGAACTCAGCATTCAGGATGGAAAGAAGAAGGAGCGGAAGGTGAAGGAGCAGGAGCGGGAGCGGGAGCAGAGTGGTCTACAGGAGGAAGAGGAAGAGGAGGAAGAGGAGGAGAAGAGGGAGAAGGAGGAGATGGAGAAGGGGGCTCCTCTCAAACTGGTGTTGGAGAGCAACCGTGCAGGGCAAGCTCACTTTCACAGCCTGCAAGTTTGGTCCTCCTCTCCCTCCTCCTCTTCCTGCTCGCTCCTCACCGTAGGCAATGAGATGCTGCACTCAGAACGGACACACCGTCTCCTCGATGTCTCTTCGTAGCTAGAACCCCCCTCCCCCCCTTCCTGCTTCACATCCTCCTCCTTCTCCTCGTCCTTTTTCTCCTCCTCCTCGTCCTCCTCATCATCATCATCATCCTGTTTCGCTTCGTCGTCGTTATCATCCTAGTCACTCTCCCTCTCCTCCCCTCCCCCTCCTCTCCCCCTTTTCCTCTCCACTCCCTTTTGAATATTCATTCTTTCAATGATGTACATCAACAATTTGCTGATTGACTCGTTCCTCTTGCCCTTTCCTTATCTCCTTCTTCACCCTTCTCCCTCTCCGCTCCTTTCCTCCCCAGTAGCTCCCCTCCTCCCACTGCTCAAGCTGGGCGCGCAGCGAGAGACTTCCTGACGTTGTCGATGTCTCCGCGACTCAAGGAGCAGACCTAAGGAGCATGTCGATGAAACTGGCAGAGAAGAAGAGAGGAGGGGAGACAAGCAGAAGAGCGGAGATGAAGAGATGAGGAGATGCGGGGAATGTGGGAAGAGAGGGTAGAAAGGAAGTGTGGGAGGGGGGGAGGTGAAGGAGGGAGGAGGGAGGAGGGAGGAGGGAGGAGGGAGGAGGGAGGGAGGAGGGAGGAGGGAGGAGGGAGGGAGGAGGAGGGAGGAAGGAGGGAGGAGGAGGGAGGGGGTCGATTACTCTTTTCTCCGGCGAGATGCTCTCATCTTGTGAGATTGCTTCGATTTCATCTAGAAAGCTGAGAATTTCTGTGAGGAACCAACTTGACACATCCGAACGTCATGACAAACCTGTGCAGGAAGCAAGCCTCCTGCAGTCTGTATGCAAGTCCTCCATCCCTGTACCGAGAAAGATGAGAAGAGAGAGGGACCGGGAGGAAGAGAACAGAATGAGCGAGGGTAGCGAAGCCAGGGAGCGCGAGTTTGAGGGGAAGAAAGGAGAGAGAAGAGAGAAGAGAGAAGAGAGAAGAGAGAAGAGAGGAGAGAGAAGAGAGAAGAGAGAGGAGAGAGGAGAGAGGAGAGAGGAGAGAGGAGAGAGGAGAGAGGAGAGAGGAGAGGAGAGAGGAGAACGGAGGGAGGGAGGGAGAGAGAGAGTGGGGAGCGGTAGGTGGAGGTACTGGGGGAGATGCATGGAGCGAGAAAGGCACATAACAGGGTAGGTTATCTTGGTCGCTTGCAGTGCTACTGACCTCTTCCTCAACACCTTGATCTGAACTCTCCCATCTTCATCGCTGAGGATCATCCTGACCTCTCCGCCGGTCGGAGGATGCGACTGCGCAAAGTGTTGAGAGGAGGGCAAGACAGGAGCTCCCTGCGTCAGCAGCGACGGCACAATGCTGGGACAAGTGGGAGGGAAAGAGGAAGGGACGGAGTAGAGCGACGCAAAGAATGCAGCAAGGAGGAACAGGAACGGCAACGAGCTCTTGTCCATCGTCAGTGAAACATGTCATGATGGTAGCTGCGCGTTCTCTTTCATCGTTCTCACCGCACAAAGGGACTTATCCGGCAGGTCCCCTTGGAACGTCCAGTCCTCGGATCCCATCATCCACATGGCAAGGTACCTTGACAACCATCAGCACAGCAGCATCCCACATTCTCGTCCTCACATGCGGAGGGCGCCAGCCTTTGCAGCGGTGAAGTCGATCGTGAAGATCGACGAGGGGTCTTTCACGCTATCTCCCTTCTTCTCTTCTTCCTCGGCATCACATCAGTCACCTCACTCTTGCTCGCTCTCTTCCCCCTTCCTCCCCTCCCAGCGCACCCCCCTGCTTCCTCCTCACCTTTGCTCCCGAATCCTTTGCTCGCTTCCCCGAATCCTTTCCCGGCCATTATTGTGAACATTCCTCCTCGTCGCACCACAGGGGCAGATCTCGAACACACTGCATGCCGTGATGGGCAGCCAACCAATCCTCCTGACAGCGGACGAAAACCATCGGAAACACCGAGGAGGAGTAGAAAGGTACTGAGTGTGCCGAGGCTGGTGGGCAGCATGGTGGATCCTGTAGTATCAACATGAGAACCACCACCACCAGCAGCAGCAGCAGCGGGGAGGGGAACAGGGCAGCAGGGGCAGCAGCACAGGACAAGGCAGGGATACAGCACAGAGCAGGGGGAGTGGAGACAAGGGAGCGGCAAAGCAGCGGCCAGGCTGAGGACTAGAGCATAGGCATGGAGTGGGGGTCGGCATTTTGTGGTTTAGTTCAGAAGGTTTAGTTAAATGTTACTAGTCGGTATGCCCCCCCGTTGAGATAATCAGCAGTCACCCGTTGCTCCTTCTCCTTCTGCTGCTGCTGCTGCTCCTCCTCCTCCTCCTCCTCCTGCTCCTCCTGCTCCTCCTGCTCCTCCTGCTCCTCCTGCTCCTCCTCCTCCTCCTGCTCCTCCTCCTCCTGCTGCTGCTTCTCCTCCTGCTACTGCTTCTCCTCCTTCTCCTCCTGCTACTGCTTCTCCTCCTCCTGCTCCTGCTCCTGCTGCTTCTCCTGCTGCTTCTGCTGCTCTGCTGCTCTGTCTGCTGCTGCTGCTGCTGCTGCTGCTGCTGCTGCTGCTGCTGCTGCTGCTGCTGCTGCTGCTGCTGCTGCTGCTGCTGCTTCTCCTGCTGCTGCTTCTCCTGCTGCTGCTGCTGCTGCTGCTGCTTCTGAGCTGGTGAGGTTCTCGAGTCCTGCATTGCGCCGAGTCCTGCGGCTTTAGACTACTCCTATCCCTGTCCCTGGTCTTTCTTCTCATACTGTTACTGAGTCTTCACCCCTTGCTCACTGAGTCAGATAGTGATATTCTTGCATCACAGCAACTGAACTTGGAGATTGAAGGTCGTCAGGTTCCATTCTGTCGGGCTCACCTGGCGCGAACGAGACGACTTCATGTCCAGGTCGTTCGACT